ATTCCTCATTCGGCGGGCTTGCGTTCTGTTGAGATGCTTACCTCGATGACCTTCGAGCGCAGGCTGCAAATGGGCACACTTGCTCGTCTTCTCGCCGCAGTCGCATTTGACGTGGGCCGCCCGAGACTTGCGCATGGAGCGACAATGCTGGCATTGCGACACGGGCCGGCCCTTCTTGTTGATGTGCTGCAGGGGGCGATCTAGAAACGAGGTGGACGGTTAGCTGCAGGTGTTCTCCAAGATGCCGCCAGATGCTCGGCCCTCAACGCCTCGCCAGCATGCCATGCGAGGGCCCCTCCCCCGGAGACGACTCGGCCGCCACCCTCAGCACACATGTCGCCTCTTGGTCTCTCCTCTCGGTCTCTCCTTTGGGGGGCTCGCTGAGCGCTGGCGGCGGCGGCTGCAGTAAAATAGATGGGCAGATGCTAGTTTTCCAGTACTCACCAGAGTGTTGGCAGTTGCTGACGCGATGGCCTCGAACGCAGGCCTCGCAGGCAAACTTCTCGCCGTCGATGAGCATGGTCGATATCTGCGACGTTACACGAGCCTTGTCTTGCAAGTGTAGGTTGTGGCCGGCAAATCGACGTTTCGTATACTCGACAACGCTTGTGTGGTGCGCCCGGGAGGAGGGAAGAAGGGTAGGCGGGTTGCGGGTTGTAGAAAATGGACGGGCAATGCCTAGTGCGGTTGCTCTACGTTTTTGTTGAGAAACGCCACGCGGGTCGAAGTTGGTCGGGGCCAGTGTCAGTGCCAGTGTCAGTGTCAGTGAGGCAAGCGACGAAACCGAACCTGTCGCTGCTGGGTCGGAATGCCGGGGGTCCGGGGTTGCGACACAAGACAGGACGGACAGCGGAAGTCGAGGAGTCGCGGGTGATGATCGGGTTTCTGGGTGTTATGAAGTGTGCATGTTGGTGAGGATGTGGTTGAAGGAGGAAAAGGCAAGATTTCCAACAGTCAACGGGACGGGGGAATCGCAAAGCAAGGCGGGGCTTCCGCCAGGGGGGGGGGGGGTTCGGTCGCGTTTGGGAAGAGGATTTTTGGGGGGTGGTGGGAGGAGGGGTGTGGAGGGGTGGTGGAAAGGTGGGTTTTTCCTTGGGATGAGGTGGATGGGGGGACTTGGACTGGTTTGGCTTGGACTGGTGTGTGTGGCCTGCTGGGTCTGGTTTGGGCTTGGGCCAAGGGTCACAGTGAGCCTGGCCGGTGAGAAAAACCAAAAAGTAGGGTACCTTGGGTATGTGTATGTATGAGCACACTCAAGAGGTACAAGCAGAACGTGCGTGCTAAGGATGCCGCTTGTCGTTGCAGAGATAGCCCTGACGGGAATGGTCTGGAGTACCTTGCCTTGGGTACTGGGGGCTGTGCTGGCGCGCGTTGATGTTGCTCGCCGACTCGAAACGCGAAGCGAATGAGCGAGCGAGTGAGAGAGGAGGAGGGAGGGGAGGGGGCACACGG